AAAAAAAAAAAATGCCTTCCTCTTAAGGTATGTATTTTTATTTTATTTGCTTTATTTATAAGTCAAGATTTTATCCCCTTGCAATAAGAGCCAGAGTGGCTATAGAGAAACCTCTGGTTGTTATAGCCAAAAAACCTCGCAGGAGAGAAGGTACAGGGTTCCCAAATGTCAAACAGGAACGTTTGTGCAACCTTCAGCCTCAATATTGGAAGCATTTAGGTAAGTTAGAGTCTGTAAAATCTCGAAAGGATCATGACAGCAGTGATCAACAGCTAAAATCTTAGGTTCTTTCTTCAAGAACCTTCCTCCAGGACTGCTGAATGCATTCAGTTTTTAGAGCTGCAACCGATCTTGAAATCCTTCCAGTGCATCGCCGCATCTTACTGAGGAGACACTGAGGAGAAGACAGGGGGTGTGCCTTGCTTATGGTTAGATGGTTAATACACAGCAGAAACGATTCAAGACCCAAGTTTGTAGGGTACAGGGCAGTGCGGGGTGGGGGGTTCCCCACACCCCTGGCCGAAATAGGCTTAGAGTTTGAGTCAGCAAATAAAAAAATATATCCCCCATACTATAAAACAGAGTGAGGTAAAGTCAAAGGAACGAGTTCACTGTGGAGTTCAAAGGACAGGGTTGAGGAGATGCCAAAGGGGAGGCAGCCCCTGGGGTGGGGAGAAGGTAGAGAGAATTCCAGAAAGAGAATGAGGTACGGAGGCACAGAGCTGTCCCCTTTCTCTCTCCCTCCCCTTCTAACACGCAAATGCTCCTGCACAAAGACCCCCATCCCCTCCATCTCCGGAGCCCTGGGCTTATGACCTCTCTCCTCTGAGGCAGGAGAAATAGTAACTTCAGACTCCAGAGAGGAACCAGGAGCTCGAAAGGGGAGCTCAGTGCGGACTTCCCCCGACTGGCCCTTCCATCTGGGGGTGGCTCATTCCGGTGCTGCCCATGGGCTCTTGGAGGGACCTGCTCCTGGATTCTGGAACTTGCCAGAGCGGGCAGCCACATCTGCCTGAGAAATGCAGCCTGGAGGGGCTCTTCCCGCTGCCTCCCAGCCTGCGGGTCCTCTGCTGGTCTTCTCCCTTCCCTGCTTGCATCCCTGAGGATCATAAAATGGGGCAACAGCACTCCCCTCAGAGGGTTGCTATGACTGTTAATTAAATTAAATAGATGTGGGGCACCCGGGGGGCTCAGTTGGTGAAGCTTACGACTTCGGCTCAGGTCATGATTTCACAGTTTGTGAGTTCGAGCCCCGCGCTGGACTCTGCTGATAGCTCAGAGCCTGGAGCCTGCCTCGGATTCTGCATCTCCCTCTCTCTCTGCTCCTCTTCTGCTCGCACTCTGTCTCCCTCTCTCCCTCAAAAATAAATAAACATTAAAAAAAATGTTTTTAAATTAAGTAGATGCGATGCTGCTGCTGAAGGCTGGCTGCCGCTGAGAGCGGCTCTGTCATTAGCTGAGCACATTACAGTCATCACCACTGGACCTGGCCAAATATCCCAGGGGAGGAGCGACACTTCTGAGCTCTGCACTCACTGCAGACCCTAGGATGTGGATTCTCAGTAGCCTCAGGGGGCGGCTGATCTAATGAAGCGGCACCTGCAGGTACCCGGGTAACATTCTACCCCTCGCCACGCTTATTCCTGGTCTAGTAAGACGAAATCCAGTCCTCCTAGAACGTCCTTGAACGGCACCAGCGCAGCACCTGCTGCATGAGCCGCGCCACTAAAACGTTCTGCAGTCGCTGTGCCTTCTGTCTGCAGATGTTCTTGAGTAGGAGGCAAAATACAGAACAGCAGAGCCCCCCTGCCACCTCCTTCAGACCCTCTGCCTCCTCCTTCTTCCCTCCCCCGACACGAGGCTCCACGTACCTTGTATCCGCTGCATGTCAGGCCCGCGTTTCTTTTCGCCAAGACACACTTCATTCGCAGGAAGAATGACCTCTCCAGCTCGTACTCTGAAAGCAGGGGTGAGGTTAGATGGGCCCACTGTCCCACGATGCTTCCCCCGATTTTGTCCCAATAATATCGGTCAACGCTCAGGCCCAGATCGGGCAGCCAGGAGCCTCATCCCTGAATGCCCAGACCCTGGCCCAGAGAGCTTCTGCCTGGGGCCGGGACCCGGGTGCGGTGGGGAGACTGGCCCCAATCCTGCTCCGGAGGAAGGCAGCTGGAAATACGGCCACAGCAGGAACTCGGGAAACACCAGCCTGGGGCCTAGGTGAGGACTGTAGGTGCAGTGGGCCCAGCCCCACTCGCCACTCCCATGGGCCCCTCCTGGCAGGCACAGAGAGGGCTGGCACCAAAAGAATCGCCTTGGCCAGCCCTGGGGTGGATGCCCCAGTTGGCCAGGAAGGCCCAGAAGCGTCTGGCTTCCCTCAGCGTAGAGGACACTGAGCAAGGGCTCACAAGCACAGCCCTTTCCCCAGCAGAGGGAGACAGCCACAGGGCCCTGGCACTGCCAGAGATGACCATGGAATGAGGAAGAGAACCCAACAGATCCCCTTAGCCAGATCAAAGCCTTTGCCCTCATGCACAGCCCGGGTCAGACCACCCCTCCTTTCTCGGGGCTCTTACCCTCCCCATTCAGTCTTCTCCTCTGGGCCAAAGGCCTCACTCACCAATCTCTGACCTCATAGTGCAAATGCAGTGGAGTCCCCTAAGGAAACACCCTGTGCTTTAGCGAGCAGATGTCAGCTCTCTGGAATGATGGGTCCCTGCCCCCGGGGAAGGGTGAGGTCTCTCCACGCTAAGTAAACAGTTATTTGGTGGCAGGTAATACATTAATTTCTAAAGAAAGATTACCATTGAGAGCGCAGGCAAGTCTCCCAGCCATTGCCTGTGAGGCTCCTCCCTTCCCCCCAGCTTGGAGGGGTGGCCATATTTACCCACAATTCCTCTACAGCGGGTTGGGGTCATGAGGCATAGGGCTTCCCCGTAACGTGGCTGCCTGTCTGCACCATTTCCACTGAGGTCTAAAACAACTTCACCCGGTAATTAGCCATGGAGCTTTGGAGAAAGCCAACAATACAATGACCATGACACGATGTGGCAAGTTCAGACGCAGAAAAACAGCTCTGTGGATAGGAAGCCTGGGAGAAGTCCGAGCACCCGCGACCCTCAGGCCTTGCACACTTGAATGGAAGTGAATCTGGGGGCAGCCCCACCCCTCCGAGACCTCTGTGCGTCTCTTGTGTTGTTGCTACACCTCAGACGTGAACCCCAAGGAGACTGGGATTGGAAGGGTCTCATGATATTCCTAGGACTCATTTGCTGTCATTTTATCAGCACCCTGTTAAGGCTATGACACAGAAGGGTGATGAGAAACCAGAGCTAGTGGGAGAGAGCCCATGCCCATGTAATTAACACTTGGTGGAACTTTCTAGAACAGTAGCACCACAATATTCTTAGGGAGTTCTTGAAGACTCCTGCTGCCTTTTCCAGCTTTAAACAGCCCCACAGTGAAAGAACGAGACTCAGGTACAGCATCCCCCCACCCCCAGCCCTCACTTTGTTAGAAATTACTTCTTCAGGGTCTCATTTGTGTGCATTTATGTGGCCAGACCATTTGCAAGGAGTTAAGAGTCACAGACCGTGGCTAAAAGTAAGCCGCCAGTTCAGAAAGCAGCACAGCAGCCTCTCCCCCTCGTAAGGAAAAGTGAGGCTTGTGGTGACTAGTTCTGGGGCTAGAACTTGGGGTGGGGGACCACAGAGCTGAATCTGCAGGTGGTTTTACAACTGAGTGGGCTATGGGGCGCCTGGGTGGCTCAGTCGGTTAAGCTTCCGACTTTGGCTCAGGTCATGATCTCATAGTCTGTGAGTTCGAGCCCCACATCAGGCTCTGTGCTGACAGCTCGGAGCCTGGAGCCTGCTTTGGATTCTGTGTCTCCCTCTTTCTCTTCCCCTCCCTTGCTTTCTCTCTCTCTCTCTCTCTCTCTCTCTCTCTCTCTCTCAAAAATAAATAAAACATTAAAAAAAAATCAACTGAGTGGGAACTTCCGGAGTCTCTCTTTCTAGCTTAGAACAGCCCTTCCCAGAAGTAAGAGTGGAACTCGAGTTTTTCTCTGGCTGGAAACCCTATTCTCACCCTGCCTGACATTTCTCCTTTTGCATTTTGTTCTACTGGGGAAGTTTGGCCAAGTTGGGATACCGTAGTCCAGAGCAGACAAGAGACCCACTGATCAACTTGCTGGTTGGTCTCATTGGACAGTCAGATGGAGTTACGAGGCCAGGGCCCCAGAATAAGGCCTTCTGGGTCTTCCAAGCCTTCACTGCAATTGTAACTTAGGTAGTCGTTTGTGTAATGATGTGCTGAACAGCCAAACCACACCATGCCTAACACGGTGCTTATGACAGCAGGAACCCAGTCCACACGTGGTAAATGATGGGACTGTCAGGTAGAAGATCCTGTCCCCACATGGAGACAGCCCGGGGAGGCGCACCTGCCTCCGTCTAGACAAGGACTTCTTAACTGACTCGTGCTGGGGTGTCCCTGCCAAGAATTACATGTTTAAGTGCAGAAGATAAAACATGTAAGATTCCAAATGGAACCAGCTGTATTGACAACAGTTACCAAAATATTGAAACGAGTGGTGATATGGTTATAAATGTGCTCCCTTATTAACGCATTAGATAACAAGAGCCCAGTAGCAGGCGCATAACTCTTGAAATTCTGAAGTAGCAGTGAGCCTGAGCGATACGCTTAAGTACCTGCAAGAACGGTAAAGTGCAGTGAACACATGTGATTCTCGTTGTCGGCAAAGCCACCGGTACTAGTGTGAGTCAGATGACAGACAGTCTATGATCTACATGCAAAGGAAAAGCTGAATTCAACCGGACGGAATAACGATGTCATTTTTCCCATGCAGTTTCACAGACCCCCTGAGTTCCATCCGGGGCCCTCTGGTGAAGAAGCCCCGGTCTAGACCCTTGTCCCTAGAACTCTAAACTGAGAGCACATTAGGGGAGAAGGCTCTGACCTCTTTTCTTTACCTCTCATGGTGCCTATCATCGTCTCTGGCGTAAGAAATGAGATCCATGGTGTCGCTTCGAAGGACAGAGGCATAAAAGCAAATTCCCCTGTGCTGTGTGTTTGCTGGAGAGGCCCCGCCGGCCTGCCCCAGGCACGCTTCCCCCACCCCCTGGCAACACAGGAAGCAAAACCCTCAGGCCACATCGAGAGAGAGAGAGAGAGAGAGAGAGAGAGAGAGAGAGAGAGAGAGCGCTTTGTCTGGTTTTCATTCTGGTTTCTTTTCATCTGGAGGAAATACCTTGGAGCAGGTGATGGTGGAGGGGCTGATGTGCCGCCAGGACAGCTGTCATCTCATCATGGTCAGAAGGATGGATGTACTCGTAAATACTGTTGCCCGTGAGCTCCACCTGCCACAGAGGGAAGGGAAGGGTCAGATGTCCCCTCGGGTTGCGTGGGGGGAGGAAGGGGCGGGTGCGCCACAGGCGGGCCCCGCCAGGGACAGGGCTCCAACCTCTGCTAACAACCCACACCTTGTCCCCATGCAGAAACATGTGGCTTTTATCAAGCAGCGCTCTGAACCGCCTCTGAACCGCCTCCCACGTGGGGCTTGGGGTCAAAGCCAAGATGGTCCTGAGCAGAAGGAACTGGGAAGTGAAGGATGAAAAAGTGTCACGGAGGTGGGTGACCCCCATGGCCCAGGTGGTGTCCTTTATACAGCAGACAGCTTAAAACAGACTAGAGCCAGGGACTTACTCTCCTCCTCGCTCCCGTGCTGCCTGAGGGGACTGGCCAGCCGGGACACCAGCTGCTAAGTCCAGACTATCGTCCCCGCGAGAGCCACGTCCGCCTCTAGGCTGAGCAAGTGGGAGCTCAGGGGCTCCAGTGCACTGGGGGGGGTGGGGGTCCACACTCCAACAGGGGCCCTTTTCCAACAGCTGTGAGCTGCGCCCCTCAGGCACTGCCGGGCCTCTTTCACATGGCTGGAAACGTGTCCCTGGCCTTCCGAGTCTGGGATGACTGTGTTTCCCGATGGCTCCCGCCCACGGGCGTGGTAGGGTGGCTGTGGGACCTGCCGAAGGCTTGGGCCCCGCTCCAGATAGCCATGTGACAGGCTGGTTATTTCCTGGGGGTGCGCCCAGCACTTGGGCACCACCTACTTCCAGGCACACCCTGCAGAGGACACGATGGCAGGCCTAGAGGCCCCGTGGAAGCTGGCCAGGACCCCCCCTTGCAGGGATGGGGGTCTCCGGGAAAATAGCATCATTCTGACCTGTCCACACAGGTCCCTGGTGACTCGATGCCTCCACTTCAGAACTTTTCTATTGTTCTCCCCAACAGAAGTGCCATGATAGAAGCTATTAGAGTCTCAAGACCTGGGGCCCCTCACCCCATCCTCAGATGGACAGTGAGTGGCGCGGAATGTTCTAGAAACTCTGACCATCAGAACAGCCTTCTGCGCAGTGCTGGGTGGATCCTATTTTAGAGATACACCAGTGCCGATGAGGGCTGTGTCAGTGCAGCCGGGATTAATCAGGGGGCCCTTTTACCATCCGCTGTCGCCAAGCCCAGGGTGGAAGAAACTGAAAGCACGTGAGAAAATGCCCTTGGGGGGCAGGGCGCCTGGGGCAGGTCTGATGAGCTCTCTTAGCTCAGCCCCTTGGGGAGGGGAGGGCAAGCTAAAAGAGCAAAGGCACGCTTGTGAGCGCTTTGTCCCTCACCACCCCCTTGTTATTTTTAAGTGTGTTGCGAACCACATGCTTTGTTGGGAGGCGCACTGGTCTTGAGCAGAGCGGAGACGGCACGATCTCCCGGGAAGGGGCGGCTCGGCCCGAGCCACCTCACGCAGCAGGACAGAGGCGGCCAGGCAGTTTAATGGACAAGTTCTCCCGGGAGCCACTGTTTCAAATTAGCATCGAGGCCATCAGCTCGTGACTCGGGTCCACGCGGCCGTCGAGAGGCGAGGTAATTCACCCCGTTCCTCCGGGCCAGCTCTTCCAATTCCTCAAGTCGGAGGAGTTGCCATTTTGTGCAGAACAAATTAGGTTTCTGGCCCGCCAAGGAGTCTTGTCTCTAAAACGGCTTTCGCAGTCCTGTTTTCTGCATTACTCCTGGAATGTTTCTTTCCAATATTATGCCAAAGAGCCACGGAGAGCCTCCCGTTACAGAGCCGCCCTGGCTCCCTCCTGGCCGCTGGCCTCCCAAACCCGACTCTTTGCTAATGACCCAAAAGGGGATTTGCCTGTGACAAAAGTTATTATGTAATCTCACTAGAAACAATAAGGTATTAAAGCAAAGCATTCTTCTTTCACGTCATTTCTGTTCACCCTTAAAAAAATTTTCGACAAGCCAGCAAATGTTAAGTCAGCCATTTGGGACAGGACAATCTCTTCTTCCCGGAGGACAGCACTGAGGGCTCCTTGTGAAGCTCTCTCAGGTGGAGAGGGACAGAGGCTAATAAGTAAGGGAGCTTTTTTTTTTTTTTTTATATCGATTCGCAATTTCAATGGCTTGTTTTTAAAATGAAAAAAAATAATGAGATAGAATTTTTTGTGCGTTGGTCCATCATTTTCCCCTTATGCATGTTGTTAGGGGGAAAAGGAACATTCTGGTTTGCCCCGAGTTCTTCGGAAAAAAGTAACACGTGTTTTTATTTCGTTTTTTAAATTTAATTATTGATTTTAAGTAATCTCTACATCCAGTGTGGGGCTCGAACTCACAACCCCAAGATCAAGAGTCCTGTGCTCTTCTAATTGAGCCAGCCAGGTGTCCCAGTCGCTCACGTCTTTTGAGAGAAACATATTTATAAACTTGGAGGAAGATTTGCATCTGTGCTTACAGGGATTCGATTCACGTTTTAATCCTAAAGTAGTTTCGTCTGTTTTCCAAGATCCCAGTCTCGCCATATGCTTTTGGAGGATGAGAACACAGAAGGTCCATGAATGAAGAGGCTTGATTTGCTGAATACTTGGGTCAATTATAAATTCTAAGGCTGTGCAGGAAGTAAAATGGTCTTCAAATAACGGAAATGTTTTTGGAGAACAAATTTTGGAATGATAACACAGTGCTCTGACCTTGACTCAAAATTATGGTTGACACGGTGTTTCCTGTATTTACGTATCTACTCGTGCTTTTGAATGGTTGAAAGAAATGTGGCTAGCTCACCAAAAAAAAAAAAAAAAAAAAAAAAAATTATAGTTGTCGCCATAAAACTCCCCAGGTCTCATACATCAACCTTATTAAAACAGACCCTCCATGTGATATTTTAGTATTTGTAAAACCCTGCTAACTACAAAATGAATTGCTTTCCTACTAAGAGTGTTTTTATGTTTTGCTGAATACCTTTCCTTCCTGCCAAGAAAACTACATATGATAAATACAGCACTAAATGGATATATTCTGGGTCAGAAGGGGAAAGTCACCCAGTGCTCTGGAAACACACATTACTCTGCTTTGGGTGTTTTGCTGACTATGGTAAATTAAGCATTTTAAAATAAGATGGTTTGGGTTTCAGGGTTCAAGTTATGTCAAGAAACATAAAACGCTGTCCTTTCTCTTTATTTCAAAAGTGAAAGGATTAGGTCTTATGGCCCCAAACAACGCGGTGGTTATTTTTACGGTTGTGGTTCCGGCCACAATCTCAAATACTACATTTTCCTTTACATGTCTCGTAAATGGCCATTTCACACATATCTGTAGTTGCTTGAAAATTTACATCAGTTACCTAGACGTTATATAATACATGCAACTTTGGTGAGGAAATTTAAGCCACAGGGATACTTAAAAGTGCCTGAGGAAATACACAACAGGTTATACAGGGCTTTTTTTCCTTCTTTAAATATAAATAAGTTAATTACACCAGCCAAAACACCATGGAACTAATCATCTAATAAACCTGTGTGGATAAAGAATGCTTCCCCACCTCTACCCTTCCAAATGGATATAAACGTGACTGTATGAATTATTATGTATCAGTGGCGTGCCCAAATACGGAATGGAATTTTCAAGTCTGAAGCCTGACTCTGTTTCCCAACACTTGGGCCGTGGGCTGAGGAAACTTATTTGCAATTTGTGGTTCTCTCTGCCACTTTCTGGTAAGAAAGTCTGACAGCAGGGATCACTGTGTCTCCTACTTTAAAAGCAAAAAATAATAAACTCTGCCAGATTTCCTATGCCAATACTCGTTTTAAAAAAGTTCAACAAAAGGCTTTGAATTAGGATGGGCTTATCACACATAAAGAATCATTTTTATACCCTCAAAAATAGATCATTCAGATAGTTATTTAGGTAGTGCAGATTTGAAAAAAAAAAAACACAACTACCACTTTACTGTGAATTATCACGCAATTATGACAAAACTAGGTGCTCATGTTCCCTGGGAGCTGCTAACATAGAGTTTAACCCTGAATTAATGTGAAGATGTTGTTACTTAATGAGATAATGTCACCAAGAGTAATTGAAAGTTCTTGGAGCACAGGGGGATGCCATGTAATATAAGCTATTACCATTATCGTCATTCATCATGAAATCTGTCTAAAGGGTTACTCTGCCTACTAGATAGAATCTTCTTAACACTTTCATCTCATCTCCCATGATTTAAAAAAAAAAAAACCCTTAAGCCTATTTTAATAAAGGTTTCATGTTTGACATCCTTGCCTGACTTTTTGCTACTAATAAAAATAATCTAAAAGGTGCAAAAAAATTTTTTAAAGGAAAAGTTGGGTGTTTGACATCCTATTCAATACTTCATTTCACTATTTAAGTAAAGAAGACAGAAAAAAATACACATTATGATTCTGCCTGGATTTCCTTCTGCAGAGTTAATCGTGAGCAGGAGGCAGATTTGTGGGAATACTTTGTTGTTGCTTATTTAAACAGTTCAGCGTGGAACGCTCCCCAGACGATAACGAGGGCTCAGTCTGCATCCAAGTGTTTTTGTAGCTGGAGACTGACGCTGAGGGCTGAGGCCATCCCACCAAGAGATCAAGGAAGAAAAAAGAAAATTCAGTCGCTCTACACAGTCAGTTTATCTTCTTTTAAAGGGACACTTCTCCCGGCTGGCAACATGATGAACAAAAGGCATCTCTACAACATCCTCGAGAAATAATAACGTATAACTCCCTCCCCTTCCAAAATTATGGCACCAAGGTTTCTCTCTGCATGGTGACCAAAGGGAACTATAATTTTAATTGTGTCTGGGTTATTCTGCTTAGATTTCCTTTTGTAGAGTTCACCGTGAGCAGGAGGTGCATGGGTCACCTATCCAATATTATGTTCATTCTTTTTTTTTAAATTTTTTTTTAACGTTTTATTTGTTTCTAGGAGAGAGAGAGAGAGAGAGACAGCGTGAACAGGGGAGGGTCAGAGAGAGAGGGAGTCACAGACTCTGAAACAGGCTCCAGGCTCTGAGCTGGCAGTCAGCACAGAGCCCGAAGCGGGGCTCGAACCCACAAACCGCGAGATCATGACCTAAGCGAAAGTCGGATGCTTAACCGACTAAGCCACCCAGGCGCCCCTGTTCATTCTTAATTAGTGTGTTCACGAACAATTAATTTCATTTCCCACACAAAAAGAGAAAAATGACAGAGAGAGAGAGAGAGATGTAGGTTGCTAGACTGAGCAGGCTGTGTGAACCGGGCCGTGCTGGTGTGTGCATTATCATGCGCCCGGCCATGACACATGACTCAGCAGTCCTAATATGTGCCAGCGAAGGACACTATTTGAAGCACTTTTGTGCTACTTGAAGTGGGGACATCTGGCTTTTGCAGCGCTCCCCATTATTTATGTCACATAAAATGGGCACTTTGATATATTTCTTACCACAACCCCAAAAGAGAGGTAGAGCAGGCATTATATTTTTATTTAAGTTATGGGTCAGGGAGGGTAAGCACCTGCCCTTTCGAGACAATGAAAACCATAGAATGATACATTTCCCTTTTTGCTTTGACTGCTAGGGAACTCAGATCTGAAATTAGTACTTGATAATAGTACTTTACCTGTTTTATCTTTGTGCAGTCCTTTTTAAAGGATGTGAACTCTTTTGTCTTGTTCATGACATTATGATAAGACGAACCAAAAGTTTGATAAATTACAAGGAAAAAAAATCAAGTAATCTACTCAAAATCATTCAGTCACAGATCAAATTAGGACTAGAAGCCAGGGGGGTTACAGCTAAAGGGCCTTAAATAATTCTAAATGAGCAAGGTCGAAACTTAAGAGTATAATAACCTTGGAAAATACATAAATAGTAAATTTCGTGTTCCCAATAGCATTTCGTATTCCACAAGTATACTAATACCATTAGTCACATAGGTGTAAGAGCCAAGCCTTAGCAAATCTTATCTGGGAGACCTGGTTTCATAAAGGAAGCGAAGAGGAAGAGAAAAGGAAACACTAAATCATCTTAATATGAAAGTCTCTTTAAAGGAGTTTGCATGAGAAACAGGCACAGAAGCCACCCCCTCCCTCCGTGGGCACGGATAAAAATACATACACGTTGGAAGAGAAGGTTGTAAACAAACAGCAAATTTTAAACCTGTATTAGCAGGGAAAAAAAAGAAAAGGAATACACCAGATGCAGGTTTCCAAATTGGTAATTTTGTTTTTCAGTGAAAAAACTCCAGCCATGTTAATTGGCATGTTTTATTTTGGCTTAACTACAGAGGGGACTGGTGTGGTAAGATTATTCATCTGCCTCCTGGGAACCCATTTCCTGTATCTAATTAATTCTAGTGTGTCTTCAGTCATGATGGAAACAAGCACTCTGATCATTCACAATGTAAAGAAACATTTAGTCCCTATATGTATTAAAAAATGTGACTTTTAGAACCACAATCCACGCTTATTAAATCAGAAATGTGAACGGCAGCAATCAGTTAGACTCCTCCCCTCCCCCCATTCGGCGGAGCCCAGACAGCAGCCGAATTCTCCCCCAAATCCTTGGCTTGATGCAAATAGATAAAGCTGAGTGCACCTCTTTCCTTTACGGGATGAATCCCTTTTTAGAAGACAGTGGCAGAAAAATCGGTAATATTTAAATGTTCTAAAGAAAACAGGACCTTGCTGAGCAAAACAGTAGTAAACTGAGTTTTATGAGTTTCTATCACAAGCATATAAAATGCTTTACTGAAACGACCGCTGAACTGGAAAAACTCAGGAAAAATTACCCTGAATTCCATGTGAACACTCATAAATCTACCTCCCCCTTCTCTCTCCCCAAAGCACAGTCTGCATGAAACCCATGTTCGACATCAGTTTCCCTCTTGCTTTCACGGCGGCTCACAAGCAAGCGTGGACAGAAAAATCTCCCTTTGTGAAGCTCTTGTTAGTGGCAGAGTGGTACTGTATAAGCACGGAGTCCAAGCTATCAGACAGAATCTCAGAACAAAGCAGACTGTTGCAAAGATATACTGGTCATTAATCCCAAAGGAAAAAGAAAGTAAACCCTTGAAAAGTAACAAAAAGAAGAACCCTGCGGGACAGCCTAAGAAGATGATCTTGCAACTTCGGATTCTTTCATATACAAAAGCAGACACTTGAACAGAATCATTTTCAAGTTGGGTGAGACTGTCAAGATCTGCCAATACGTAATTTTATATTTTCGCTGTGCATAAAATTCGGGAAGACCTACCTGTGACAAGCCTAAATGTACGGAAGCTGTTTCCGATATATACATAATTTTGCCATCAGATGCAACCACGAAAACAAATCCGTCCAAAGTCTGTAAAAGAAAAGTGCCAGGGTAAGAGGTGACAGTTATACATTAGGATTAAATCAAATAATTTGTGCCCACACTGGAGTGGAGGAATGTCTGAAATATTAGCATCAATGCGTATTTGTTAAATGCAAAACGGAGCTCGGGGGCCATAGAATGACTGCGGGTTACAACCCTCGGGGTTTAATTCCTGGGACCGGCTCTCAAATGCTTTTAAAGTGCTTTGAAAACAATCTTACATCCACATCCCAAAAATCATGCAAAACATTTGAAAACTCCTAACATGCTCAGTTTAAATGCAGTAGCTTTATTGTTTAGGGTTATTTTAGCACTTAGCACAAATCCGGACTTCTACGGTACTTAGGGGGAAACCTACCACTATATAGACCATTTTATGTCATAATTGGCAGTGCTTTATACCACTAGGACATACGCTTTATTTGCCACAATTTTCTAGTTACCCCTAAGTACCATTTGAATAATAAATTCCGAACACTACCACTCCCCTGAAAATAAAATACCCGGTTATTTGAACAGACTATGTCTACAGAATTAACTACTTAGAATTTGCAAGAGATCAAATAACCTTTGCAAAATTCAAGGAGAAAAAGTATCAGCTTCTGAAAAATTGAAACTATCTAAATGATACTGCCTAAGTTGGCGAGCCCTCAAAAAAATAAAGTAAAATTTTAAGAGCTAATTAAGACAAATAAAAAGGTAATGATTATATTTATGTGTGGCAAGGATAAAAAGACTAAAATTATTTTTGAAAAAGGAAACGGCATTTTATTTACCCATTCATATTTTAGATCCAGAACCAAAGAAAAGCAATAAAGTTGGTGAAAGATCCGTACAGCCCACAATGCTGCCCCCGTAAAAAATATTCCAAATTAATTTCTGGCCACAAATTCTATTTTTACAGCATGTAATTGAAACCAGATTACCTTTGGTTTTTCTAAATCTGCCCCCTCCTTGTAGGGGGGCCTAAAAAGAATGTAGTAGAAGTGAAACTTGAATGATATCCTTACATTCTGTTATCTCAAATACAGTTTTACTGTAAAAAGTCTTTGCCAACTATATGATCATCGCCCTAACCTATGCTCAGGTTGAAATCAACATCTTAAGCCTCACTTTCTCATTCCGAACTCAGCTGCAAAATATTTTCCCAACTACATTCCGTTTCAAAAATATAAACCACACAGCAATGTCTAAAGTTATAAACGTTTTGGCACATTGTGCACTCTCGTTTAGATCTAAATTCATTAAAGAGATACATTTATTGAAACGGTATCTGACAGTCAGCCAGGTGAGTGAAAAAAGGGGGAAAAATCATCGTAATTAAATGCTGAAAGTTGCCAGCAGTAGCTAAAAAAATAACGTCCTTAATGGAAAACATTGGATGTGTCTTCACAGCTTCAGATCGCCGAATTCGCTTGAATGTATATTCACTGAAAACACCCCCGTCCACACAGCGTTCCGGAATTAAAGAAACGCACGGCGTTGGAGCCGAGGAATGTTCGCCCGCCAGGTTTTCACCGGAGTTGTTGCTGATGTTAGTGGAACTTAACCCATGCAGGAGCATCAAACAAGCAAACTACAGCACACGGAGCTGGAAGCGAGCAAGGGGGTAAGCGCAGGGCAGGAAGGACCCCAGCAGCACCATTTCCCGGCCGGCCCGGCTGCCACAACGTTTGCTTTATGCTATGAAAGCTTCAGGTTTCAAATATTCTCGGGGATCTTCTCTTCCCCGGAGCATGCCCCGGGGGGGGGGGCGGGGGGGAATCGCACCAGGACATTCGGGGAAAGGGGTTTTTTAAAGATCCGCTTTTTTCGAAATGCAATGTGGGCTCTTGGCTGACTCACTGACCCAAGTCATTGCCTACCGTCGCCAACTTTTTTTTTCTTTTTAAGAAAACACAAAATAGAAGGAGGAAATGCAAAACAGCTCTTGGTGAGCATTTTTTGATGGCAGAGACAAATGACGGGTGGGGGGGAGGAATGAATCGGGTCGTTGATGAGGATCTGTAAGGGGCATTTGAAAGATTCTGGGACACGAGGCGCTGCTGTCCCCACAGAGCGCCGGCTGTTGATTTGGAAATGGCCAGTCGTGTGTACGCTTACCAGAGTCTCAGACACTGCAAGCGAAATCCGAGGTCAGGAGCAGTTTAGCAACCATGGACCGAATGGCTCCGAGCTGGGGAGGGGGGGGCACTAAGCAGCTGACCACAAACCAAGTAAGGGCTCCCTCTGTGAGCCAGGTGACCCCCGACCCCCGAGGCTGCACCTGGTTGTGACCTGGAGCGTTCAAGAGCTGAATGACTTGGGTTGAACGAGGCCCCTGCACTTGCTGTGCAATCTCAGGCATGTTGCTTAACCTCTCTGTGCCTCAATTTCCTCCTTTGTAAACATGGAGCTAAAAATAGAACCTACTCTAGGTTGTGGTGACCCACGATCATTGGGTAAGATTTGAAACAGAATCTGGTCTGTAGTAAAATGCCAATAAATGTCAACAGTTAATATTCTATTACAGATGCTGTCTTTTTTAAAATTCACCCCCTCCAAACTTACATGACTGTTACAGGCTTTAGAACTGCCACACTGGCTCAGAGCCTCCATTCATTCCTTCTTTGGCTCAGGCACCTGGCACAGCGTCTGGCACAGAGCAAGCGCTCCACAAAAGTTCGCTAAGGGAAGTAGGGTTGGAAAGAACAGTGCACCCACGGGCGTCCTTAGGCCTGGGTCTCAAGGTCTAGTGAGTACTGAGGCTGGGAGACGATTGCAGCAGGGCTGGCCCGAGGTTACTGAGTCCTCCCCCAGTCCCCGCCTGGTCTGGCGGGAGGAGGGGGAGGAGGGGGATCCATGAGGGTCTGGGGTTTGCCAATTGCCTGGAGGTCCAGGAACTGTCTCTGCATCCTGATGGTGTCCTATCGATCCGCCTAGGGGGTCTCTCAAGACTGGTGGGGGGTAAGAAGGGAGCCCCACCCGGTGCAGGTCTAAGCCTAAGGTCAAGGCTGCACTCCTCTCCCCTCCTCAAGGAGGCTTTACCTGAAGCAAGTGCGATCCCAGCTCCTTGGCGACGCTGTCCAGGGGCCCGGCGCGGCTTGGCTGTCCCCACGCATCTCCTAAACCTGGACCCGGGAATAAAGCAAACGGGTAAACAGGGTAACCCTCAGCGCCGATCAACCAGCCACCACCTCCCGGGAGGCGGGAGTCCCCAGCATCCCCACCGGCCACCTCCCTGGCCGGCCCCGCAGGCCGCTGTCTGTGTCCCCACCATCGTCCCTTTGCCCTGGATTAAACAGAAAGAAGGCCAGAGGAAACATTGCCGCTCGAGGCCTCCGGTCCGAGCGCCCCAGAGCCCACTGAGCTGGCCAGGCCCGCAGCTCCCGCGGGTCGCGCACGTGCTCACGGCTCTGAAATTGCCGTTTTATTTGAAATGCCACAAAGTAATCTAATCTGCTTTGAAATCGGCCATCCTTGAAGCCAAACGGGGATATCGATTTGACCTGTAAATATTCCCCCAAGGACCCTCCCTCCCTCCCTTTGCTGTGTCGCCGGCAACTAGGCATTTTCCCAAAGGCAGAGAGGCCCAGGCAGAAAAGCCCTCACCATCCAGGAGACGGTTCTTCCAGCATTATATATATATATATTATATTATTATATATATAATATATGATAATCCTTAGGACTCCCCAGCCCTCACAAGCACCTTGGGAGCAATGACCCTCTTCCAATCCAAGTGCTCCAGCTTGGGAAGGGTTTGAGGGGGGACTTCCCCAAGGCTTGGGGGGGGAGAGGGGGCGCGCAGCGGGATGGGGGATGGGCAGAAGGCAGTGGGAGCCCTGTAGGTACTCTGGATGTCTGGAAGGTATCTGTTGCCACATATTTAGGGTGCCCCAGCTTTTACCTGCCCCCCCAAAGCCTCCTGCTTCTCCCCACCATCTCCTTGAAGGTCACGAGTGTTTCAGAAACCGCACCAGGGAAGGGTACCCCGGCCCAGGGAACCTCCTCTCCTGGGTCTCCGGCCCAGCCGCAGCGACCCCAGAAATCCCAGACTTTCCTCTGCATGTTCGGGAGGGAGTAGGAAAGTCCGGTGTGGTTGCGGAGCTAAGTGTCTTCACCTGGAGTCCGGGGGCTGGGGACCTGGCCTATATCCGTTCCAGGTGGCCCCTGCACGAGGTGGCGGAGGCCGGGACTGCTGTATCAGCCCGCGTGCCCCTCCCCACCCCCGCAGCGACCCCTTGGGGTGAACGGTGGGTCCCGGGACCAATCCCCGGCCCCGCTGTGCCCCGGGAGTGCGGGACTCAAAGCCAGAGCGGACCGCATGGGCTGGGGAACCCAGCCTAGTCACGGTGAACCTGGGGGCCATTCCTGGGACCACACAACTCCTCCAAACTGGCAGCGGCCAGTGGACTGCCCACAAAGTCACCACATGGGCACTCTGGGTCTCCCCCACTGTCCCCTTGGGAGTGGGGGTCGTCGCAGTCTGGAGGCTTCCACCAGAAGCCTGAGGGAGCCGGTCCGCCCAGAACACCTAGGGAACTAGACCCTCCCCCTCGCCCCCTCCCCACCAAGAGGCTTTGGAGACCCTTCCCAGCAAGCTCTGTTCTGCAACTAAAAAAGGAATAACCTTTAATTTCTCTTCCTGGGGTCTAGGAATTTGTGGTTTATCCTGGTCTCCATGTAAGAAAGTGGCTATTTTCACCATACCCTGATCCCCCAAACAGGAGTCCAGCCCCTCAGCCTGCTCCACGCGAACGGTGGTGTCCTCTTAACCCCAGGAAACACTGTTCGCTCACTTGCACTCCCAAGGATGACCACAGTGACCACAGTACTAGGAAACCACTGACTTTCACTAGCAAGTCCTTCCCTACACCCCCCCCCCCATCTCTACGGATGGCTTGATGGGGTCAACGTTTACTCCATTTAAGGAACCAAAATTTAAAAGCCCTGGGGCTTGAATGAAAAAAGAATTTAATAAAAACCCAGAATCGTGATTCCTGAAAATGGACCGTTGTGCCCTAGTAACTGCCCTTTACCCAACTCCCGGTTCCTTTCCCTGGTTTGCACCACGCTGGCCTTGCCTGGCTCAGTGAGGAACGTGAACCTGACCTCCCAGATTAGGCTTCTTGCAGTGTCTGCAGCCGGGTCACCTGGGGGAAATCTGTACCTTCAGGAACAGTGCAGACCGAGATCAGACTTCCCGGGGAGCTCACTCTGGCCTGACATGCAAAAGTGCTTGGGGTATTTTCCCAAGGATGATTTTCCATGTAGTTCAAATACCCAGACACTTCAAAAGAGCCTGCTCTCATATCATTAGAATTTTTCCTATAATTTCCTGACACCTCTGCTTTGCTGCTGGAATATGGTCTGAATGGCCCTTCTGGACTTTGCTGGAGATGGCCTGGCTCATGGACAGGCTCCCTTCAAGCATCCTTGCTCCCATGCCCATCTCCGCCAGCTCTTGCATTAGAAGCCTCTGTGGGTGGGGCGCCTGGGTGGCTCAGCGGTTGATCTAGGGCTCTTGATTTCAGCTCGGGTCACAATCTCACTGAGGTGGAGCCCCTTGCTGGGCTCTGCACTGGGTGTGCAGCCTACTTGGGATTCTCTCTCTCCCTCTCCCTCTGCCCTTTCCCCACTTGCATGTGCTCTCTCTCTCTCTCTCTCTCTCTCTCTCAGGAAGGAAGGAAGGAAGGAATCTCTGTGGGTGAGATCTTTTCACTCCATCCATAAAATCTATCTACACTGGGCTGAATGTAGAGACTCAATAAGGTAAGGTTTGTAACAACAGCAGAAAGCATCGCGGTGCTGTAAAGCCATATATGCCCTGAAAAAGCAGGCGCTGGGCTTGTGGCCCTCATCTGGACCCTAACAAAGGGCTTTATTTGTTTGAGAAATGAGAGGAGAAGGCTAAGACTCACCCAAGCTCCTACAAGGTTATCGTGGTTGGTGGTCTATCTCACCTGATCCTGGGAGCTCTCCCCGCCCCCACTGACTGTGGGGGCAAGCTGCCGGATTGAGGGGGTGTATCCCAATCCTGACCTGTAGTTCCCCTGTCAGGGGACCTACACGTGTCCCCAGGGGACGCCCCTGCTACTGGCAGTCCACATGGCCAGGTCATGGAAGAGGAGTCAGCCACTGGGTCAGAGGAAAAGGGAGCCAGGAACCCCCTTTCCCCCACCTCTTGCCTCTGAGGGTTTGTGCTACCTACACCTTGGTATTCACACTTGGTTGTCTGGCTGGCTCGCTGTTGGGTTTAAAATTTACCAGGCTCTCTTGCCACTGAAGCTGTCTAAGTATGGTCCCTCCTCTCTCTGGGTGCTCAGCCAGCTGTTGAGCTCTGACGGTCCGTGCAACCTCAGAGAAAGGACCCGGCGTTTGGTAAGAACTCCCAGGATGGCCAGTTCTGGAAGGCAGCCTCGGGTATCTAGAATGGTGACAGAACCACTCCTGGCGGGGATCTTGTGAAAACTAGGTGGAGGGGTGAGTAAGGGAACTCCTGACCCTGCACCGCCCATCCACGGAAAATCGGATCTGAGATTGAGAAAAATCCAGGACGGACTTTCCTGGAGTCCCCAGGGGACACACGGGGCTCACGTCTTCTGCCCCCGCTCCCGCCAGTCTGGATGGTCTGATCTCCAGCAAGAGCCCTGACCTCTAACCCCTATTTCTCAACTCTAAAGTAGGGGTGGGGGGAGGTTGTGGGATTAAATGAGCTAAACCAGAGGGCGCCGACAAAGCGCTGGTCCAGGGCAAGGCCTCGGTGCCACCAACGCCTTGGTCCAGCCTCCTCCAGCCTTTCCGCCCCTTCCCTGCCTCCAGCCTCTCCTTCTCCCTCGGCCCCCAATTACCAGCCCCTCGGCAGCCCCTTGCCGGAGAAAGAGGCGCGTTATTGGGGAGCTTGGCTTCTGGCGAATCGGAGGGCATCTGAGGACACAAGGTCATGCTGGCTGACTGCAGACGACTCCAGAGTCTAGAAGGGTGTGCGGGGTTGGGGTGGGGAGGGGGCTGAGGCGCTGCTCGGCTCCTCCACCCAGATCTATCCCGACCTCCCAGACTTCCCAACGCCAGGGAGCGTAGGGGAACTCCCGTCACCCTGCGGGGCGTTTACAACCCGCATGACCACCCGCGGGGCCGCGGTCTCAAGGGCTCGGTCCTTGGCTACCGGGCAACGCGCGCGCGCGCCTGGGCGAGGTTGTAACGGGGAAGTAGGGGCGCTGGGCTGCCCCCTCGACGCTCTAGGGGAGCCCAGAGCTGGCGCTCCCTCCTCGCTCCACTCCAGGACCCAGAAAACTGTCATGCTTCTGGGGTTCCCCCCGCGCACTTCAGCCTTTGGCCTTGGAATGCTTCGTTCTCTCCGGGGTCCCCGAGAAGCCCGGCTTTGGGGCCCTTTTCCAAACCAACGGTCGCACAGCGGGTCCAAGAACAGGGCGCGAAGGGCGTGGGTGGGTGGGGACACCCCGAGACGGCCTCGCTGGGACCAGCCCGACAGCGAGGGCAGGGGGCTTCCACTGCCCCCGCCTGGCCGCCGGCCAAGGTTCGTGCTCAGACGCCCGCCCGAAGGCCCGGGGCCCCCAGCGCCTCACGCCGAGACCTCGGAGGCTGGGCCGCCGGCCTGGCCGCCGGCCGCACTCGGGAGCATGTGTGGCCCCGCGCCGTCCAGCGCTGGGCTGTGGCCCCTGGGGGCCGAGTGCGCGCTCCAGGGCCCGCCTCGAGCCTCCAAGGCCCCGCAGCGCGGAGTCCCCCCGCCCCCCCGCCCCTGCCCGCAGCTCTGTCTCAGCGGCTGGAGCTCGCCCTCCCCGGACCCGGGCCCCGGGCGCAGAGGGTTGTAAAATCCCACCTTATTCTAAAAAACAAACAAACAAACAAACAAACAAAAAACCCAAGTCTTTTTTTTTTTTTTTTTAAATCTGCATTATTCCACGCTTAGGTAGAAAATGGGCTCGGATCTGTTTAGGCTTAAGGTGAGTTTCTCATCAGCAAACCCTCTAAAGCAAAGCGGTTTCCATTACCGACAACAATTTCCAGGCGGCTGCCTGAATCTCAACCCAGACGCATTGCACTGCGGCAGTGATTCGGGCCTCACACTCCCATTATTTTTGTGTGACAATGACAATGTCCCACTCCCTTCCCCTGCTTTCACCCACACCTGTCTAGTCTTCAGGTCTGGAGGGGCTCTGTTCTCCAGCCTCAGTTTCCAGCTCCATTCCTAAGCTGGGACCAGAGGCCAGTCCCTGGGGTCAGCTGTCTGTGCGCAAGGACCCCCAAGGGTCACCACCCTCTACCCCACTGCTGAGGGTAAGGAGGAGCTTAACGAGTCACCGGGTTGGCCTCAGAGCTCATGCGGCCCTGACTCGGGCATCCTGAGGCCCGGCCCACCTCACTTGAAGGAGGAACTTGCCCCTCATCCTGTGTGGCATGGCTCCCATGCCGCTGTGGCCAGAGAAGGGCAGCGTTCTCCCACCTCCTGCCTGTGTGCTTCTGAAGCGCCCCCTCTCCTGAGGCGAAGGCCATAGTGCAAAGAGGGCAGGCAGGCCCGGGACCCCAGCATTTCCCTGAGGCCTGCGTGTACCAGGCCTCCCTAGCCACCATCGAACGCACTGAGTTTCCAATTCCGAGTCCCACTTCCAAAGCCAGACTTGCTCTCCCGCCCTCTTCCCTGTCTACCTCCTTCTTAGCTGTTAAAAGGGAAAAGACGTTGGGGGCCCAGAAAATAGGTCTTCCAAGTGCAGTGAGGCCCAGAGGTCCGCAGAGTGGGGCGCTCGACCCGTCCAAGCCATCTCTGGCGCAGGCCACACCGTGAGCTCCCAGGAAGCAGTGACTGAAGGAAGAATGCGTAAGATTTCCATCTGCACTGCCTGGCTCCTCACACTTGATCCCAGGAACCTTGCACAGCTATGGAGCTGCTAACAGGCCCATTTTGCAGACAAAGAGACCGAGGTCTAGTGGGGCCGCCTAACAGAGGGGAGCCTTGAAAAGGCTGTAAAAATTGCAGGCACTCCCAAGCTTGCAGTCCGACCTCCCTGGGGACTGTCCACCTTGACTCCTGTCGCCTGTTTCTGCCCTTCTGTGGGACTCTTCCGAGCTCTGCTATTTCTCCTCTGCCCCAGGTGGTCTCCGGATGAAAGGAGCCAAGGCCAAGGGCCTCAGGCCCAGCGGGAGAACAGGCGCTGGCCCGCTCTCGCCCTTGCTGTGGGACCCTGGGAAAGGCCCGCCCCTCTCTGGCTGCAATTTCCTTGGGGATGAAGGGTTAATGGCGATGCCAGTGGCTCCTTTGGATTGTCCTATTCACTTTCTAACTTGGCTTCCAGATCCTTCCTCACCCAGGGATTTCTCTTGCTCCCAGGGTGTGGGACAGCGGTGTCACTCGGCAACTTTCTCCTGAGTTGCGGCGGCCGCAGCGCAACACCGCCTTGGCCCTAAACCTCGCCGGTGCCAGTGCCCCGGTCCCCGCGGCTCCTCCAGGCCGGACTCCTCTCCCACGGCGCAGACCCAGGCTCGAGAACAGAGGCTAAATTGACCACCGCGCGGCTTCCGCAGGCCGCCCTTCAGAGCCACGGGAGTGGTGAGCAAGCGATTTTGCGTAACTGAGGTCTCTCTAAACCCGTCTTTCTCTGCCCAGGCACCCAGCTTCACAATCCCGTGACCCAGACGGACTTGAGGGGAGCCGCGTCACTTCCCAGAGCTCCAGGCCTTGGGCCTTCACCCCTCCAGGCAGGCCCCCCGGCTTCCTGCTCCGGCCCTGCAGGGGAGCCTGGGACACACCGACGCCTCCTTCCCTCTCGATCAATCTAGACTGTAGATTAAGGGCTATTTCTAAAACTTTAGGACCAAACAACTCTCTCCCACCCCTCTGGCAGTTCCAGTTCTGATGGTCACTCCCAGGAGGTGATCAGGCCACCCTTCGACCAGGCCACTACCCAACACAGCACAAGGGCCTGGTGCTCTGACTCCTGGACCCCCAGCTAGCCCGCGCCTGCAAAGGGCCCGGGGCCAAGTAATTCTGGGCCCAAATGGCTGGAGACTCACCTCCCAGAGTTAGAACACCCAGATCCAGTTTAAATATCTGCAGAAGCAGTACACCCGCCACTTCCCAAGTTTTAGCAAGCTTTCCTGGAAATCCTTCAAACGATAAATGGCTTACAATTAGCTCTCTTTCTCCAGGCCTCCCTTTCTAACTAATTTCTGGCTCACTTGAAATCATTGGTAACAAACTATTTAATATTCCGATCCTGGCTTCTCATGTGTTTCTCTCCCATGGGGAAGTGATAGGAGCCAGGGTCCAGTACTGGCTCACACACCTGCTGGTAGCACGCAGATTAAGAAAGGACTCACTAGAAAAAAATACATAAATCTTAAAAAGAAAGAAACAAAGAAAACTAGCAAACAAACAGCTCACCGTCACTCATACCCCGGGTGGGAAGGAGACTCGGCCCTCATAAAACGTATTTCTCTTTTCATTTGCAGTGAAATCTTAGCCATAGAGGAATCTACCTCTCGGGTGGGGAGGTCACCCTCGGGCAGACTGATCGCGACCACCCGCTAGACAGCTCCCAGTAGGGGGTGGAGTGGGGGCACCTCAGTCTACTGGGGTTGGAAAAAGAAAGAAGGTGTGTGGGGCCAGTGCGGAGGCATAGGCCAGTGGCTCCTGCACTGGGGGGGAAAGCTCTGGAGGCTTCAAGGCCCAGCTGGGAGGCAAGGGCTAAGCCTGGCTACTGCTTCCGGGCCCCCTGGGTCCCCAGGCCCGCTGTGCTGCAAGGTGCAGGCCCCCTGAGCTCCCCTGTGAAGTGTGAGCCAGTGTGAAGTGTGGCTCCAGACCCAGAGTAAATTACATGTAACAAGCTTAGGGGCAACCAACATAGAAGTCAAGCTTACTGACTCCTGGTCGATCGCTTGGCAGGCACTGCCTTAATGGAGGTACCCTGTGCCCTTAGGACACCTGTTGCTGCCCTGCAGCCACCCCCTGGTGTCCTGCCACTGAAGCGGTCTCTACGCCCCCACCGGCTCCTGGGGCTCCACAGCCCTCCCAGTCCTGCCCAATGGGACCCCCGTGCGGAGCGTCCCAGCCAAGTGTCAGGATCTCTCCCGCCAGCCTGCAGCAACCCTGGCTGGGGACAGAGACGCTGAAAGGCGATCGGGTCAGAACCACTGGGCCACCAAAAGGAATGCTGTGGCGACCAGGCCTCCCTGCTGCTCAGAGGTGCCCGGCCTGGCAGCCAGGGTCACCCGCAGGCCATGTGCTAGCAGGGAATGCTGGCCCGCACGCCATTTCTTACTGCCGGGAGTCTGGTGGACCCAAGGGTCCTGGTGACCCGTGTCCACCATGGCACCTGTCCCTCTGGGTTTATAATTCCAACCAGGAAAACAAGACTGTACTCAGGCCCGCCAGCCATTTTCCTATTCTTTGCCCCTCTCCCCCACCCGGGGCTTCAGCTCACCTACTTTCAGTATCTCCTACCCTGCCCGCCCAGCCCCCAAGGGGGTCAGCAAAGTAGAGGCAGCCCGAGAGTCCCAAATCTGAGGCCCCGGCCCCAAACAAGTGCCCCGGCCCCCCCGGTGCACTCTGCTCTCTCTCAGGCCAGGAGCAGCCAAGCACGTTTCACGCCCTGGTTGGGGTGCACACACTTTCCTCCGCGCAAAGAGAGCAAGGAGTGAAAGAAGGACAAAATAAAAGGCGGAGTTAAAGAAACGAAGAAAGAGAAGACGAGAAGGGAGGCAGGAAAATCAGAACAGTCTAGCATGCTCACAGAACAATTCCTGGCTCCCCAAGCGTGGGCCGGAAGATGGTCCGGTCCGCGCGGCACCCAGGAGCCTGGCTCCTCTCTCCAGCAGGAGCCGAGGCGCCCGGCGCGGCCCCTAAGACGCGCTGGCACCGGCCTCCAAGCCAGCCCCAGCTTCCCGCTCGGGCCGAGCTGCCCGGCTCCCCGGCGCTCTCGGCCGCCCACCTGCGGCCTCACCTTCGGGGAAGACGGCCCGCATCTTCAAGTAGCTGGTGGTGAGTCGGATGATGGACGCCTTGTCCAGCTGCGAGGTGATGGCCGACGGCAGCGGGAGCAGCTTGGCCAGCTCATAAAACTCGCCATTTTCCTTCTCCCTCCGGGTCTTGGCCGCATTCTTGGACTTCTCCTTCATCGCGCCTCGGCACCGGGCATATTAGACCCGGCCGTGCTCCAGGCCCGCCGAGCCCCGCTCCGGCTGCAGCGGCGGGGATGGGGAAGGGGGGCGCAGGGGTCCAGGTGGGTCTGGGGCACCGCCCGGGGCAGGTGCGCGGGGCCGGCCTGGGGCGCCGAGTAGCCTCCCCGCAGCCGCCGGGCCCCGGAGCGCCGCGCAGCCCCGCGGCGCCGCCCTGCGCGCCGCCCTCCGCCGCCCCGGGCGCAGCCTCCTGCGGGCTGGACTGTCCCGCGGTGCCCGAGCCCGACTTCCCGCTCGCTTCTGCTCGCTCTTCCTTTCTCGCTCCTCGTCCCCCGCGTCTCGGCTTTCCTTCGGCGGTGGAGAGCGGCCGGCGAGGAGGCAGCGGGGCCGCTCAGCCCTTGACCGAGGGTTCGTGCCCGCTGCCGCGAGGCCCCTCCGCACCGGAGGGCGGCATGGGCGGCGGCGGCCGCGGAGCCATGGGGCGGGAGGGGAGCGGCGCGGAGCTGGGGCGGCGGCGGCGGCCGGGGCCCGGCCGGGGCGCGCTCTCCTGCCCTCCCTGGCCGTTCCCTGCGCCTGGAGACGCGGCGCCCGGAGCCCGCGATGTGTCGCGAGCCGCAGCAGCTCCGCGGTCCACGTGCGACCGAGCCGCGTTTGTTTATGGCGGACCCGCCTTCGGGCGGAGCACTCGGCCGCCGCGGCCCCGGGAGGGGGGCGGGAGGGGGGAGGGACCGCGGCGGGGGCGGGGGCGGCGAGTCTCGCCTCCCGACCCCGCCGCGGCCCCGGAGTCACAGGCGCGCCTCCGCGTCGCTGCCTCCAGGGACTCTCCCTGGAGAGGCCCGCGCGCTCCCGGCCTCGAGGAAGTGGCGGTGAGTGCACACGGCGCGCCGTGGGGACCCGGGCCCAGGCGCTCGGACGGGCGTCGGGGAGGGGCGAGGGAGGGAGGGAACGGCGGAGGCGGGGGTTAGTGATGCCCAGACCACCCCTGTGGCTCCGGGACCGGTCCCGGGCGCGCGCGGCCGAGGGGAGGCGGATGGACCCGCTGGCCCGTGCCGTTCGGGGGAGGACCCAATCCTCCCAGCCCGCGCCGGTCCTGCGCCCTCACCTCCCCACTTTGCAGGGCCGAGCGCCAAAAGGGGGGGACCCCCGAAGGGAAGACTCCCCCACATTTGGAAAGGGCGGGAGAGAGGCTCGGGAGTGACCTTTCTAACCCTTTCTCTCCCCGAAACACGAGAGCGAAAGAAGATCGTTGCTGTCCCCGGAGGGGCAGGAGGCCGCAGGGACGCGCTGGCCAGGCGAAAGCCGGGGACCGGGAGCCGCGCCTCGCGGCCGGGCCTCGCCCAGGGTGGCGGCGGGAACAGGGCCTGACAGTGCCCGCTCGGGGAACCGCGGCTGGGGCGGGTGCTTCAGGCCGGGGGGGGGGGGGGCGCCGAGCCAGAGCCCTGGAGCGGGCATGGGCGGGGGCCCGGGTGGCGGGCCGGGAGGCAGCTGGGGTCTGGAGGCGCAGTCGGAGACGCGGCGGCCGTAGGGCGTCCTCGGGCTTTCCCTCCGGAAAGGGGATCGCAACAGCCCTCTTAGCCACCCCCACGGCTCCGCTCCTGCAAGCCGGGGAGGGCCGGCCTCCAGCCCCGGCCGCCACGGTAGCGCAGCCTCGCACCGTTCTAGCCGTTTGAACACTCATGCTGGCGGGCGTCCGCGTGCGCTGGGAGGCGCCAGCTTGCCCCGCGCGTGGGGTCAGAGGGCAGCTGCAGTGGACGCAGGCCCCGGGTCCTGGGGTCCCTCGGCCGCGTGCCGCAGGCTGCACGGCTGTGGGGCGCCTGATTTTGCGGTCGGCTCGCGGAGGAGACACGCCGGGGCCGCGCGGCTCCGCAGCTGGGATCTCCGTTTCTGGTGCCACCGCTCTCCCTCCGGGCCCGGTAGGAACCAGCCGCTCCACGCGCTCACTGACCCGGGACCCGCCTCCTCCCCCCCGCGCCTGAGGGGCCGGGCAAACGACCACCAGCTCCGCAGCGGGCGCCCCGGACCGTCTCTAGGGGCCCCTTTGAAGGGCCGAGGCGCGACAGCGTTGACGGCGGCTTAGCTCCCTAGGTGGGCAGGACAGTGCGCGCAGACTCCAGCGCGGCCCGCACCTGCCCGCGCCCTGCGGAGGCCACAGGTGGCCTCGCCTCGGAGGGCCGGCGCTCCGCAGCCACTGAGAAGTGCGAATTTCGGAGGTGGTGTCCCCCACCCCTCTCAACGCTGAGCTCAGCACTTTCCCTGGGGGGGGGGGGTTTGGATCTAGGAGCAAATTCCGGTTTCCAGCAGTGGTGCGTGCGGAGGAGCCCCGGCGGCGCGCGAGCGGTGAGGGTACGCAGTCCCCAAAACGCAGGGCGCCTCCCCCTCCCTGCCTCGGATCGCGAGCCCGACTGCGCCGTTGTCGCCTCGTGGCTTCGCGGAGAAGGGGCTCCGCGAGGAAGGGACTGGCGGCCCAGCCCCGCCGCAAATTGCGCAGGCCGCCTGTGGGTGCGCGGCGGCACCTCCCTGGCTCCGCGAGGATTTAACGCTTTCCGCATCCCCACGGTTTCCGATCCTCAATTACCGACCCGGGAGAATTCCTCCGGGGCTTGAAAGGGATTACTCAGATCGCCGAGACACCGCTAAGTGGAAGTGGGAGAAACCCAACAAGTAACGAGAACAGAAACTTTCCTTAAACCGGATTTCCCGGATTTTGCGGGAAAGCGTACTTGAAATCTAGTTTTCTCGTCTTCCCAGCGGCAGCCGCTGTTCTCGGATCAGCAGAACAGGTTCGAACCGCGGGGTTTGAGCGGTAGCGTTATGGAGCGTTTGAAGTGCGGGTGTGGGACCCTTCAGCCCCTAAAGCCTACCTCAGCAGACGCGCGCGCGCGTACACACACACACACACACACACACACACACACACACACACGGCGATGGGTTCCCTCCCGCACCCCCCATCACCGAAAGCGCCCAGGTGCTTGGAGGCCGACCTCGAGGTTTCCCAGGTGGGAAGAAGACTGGTGTCAGCGTGGAATAGTGAAGGAAGAACGTTCCCCACCATCCCCTGCGTGCCTGGCTGGATCTGATCCAGAGTTCTTTTTACTGGAGGAAAGCCTGGGACCCCTATTACACTTAGAAGGGACACCCACAGGCTCTGTGAAAAGTGGGAAAAACACTTAAGACGTGCTAGTTAGAGTGATCAGGGCGTCAGCAGTGGCCGCTGGTTGGGACACCGGCTGCATGTCCCTTGCTCCAGGGCTTCTGGGGCCAGGGGTACCTCCTGGTCTATGCTTTGGGGCCAAATCCGCCCAGAGCGCAGAGTGCAGCCTGCAGGGAAGTATAGCTGCACGAAAGACCCTGCCGTCCAGGCATCATCCACAAACTGCAGGCCTGGAAAGAGCCTGCAGACTCTAGCATGAAGAGAAACTGGGAGCAGGAAGAAGGCAGGTAGGAAGCTCCCCGCCCCCCAACATTGAGGTCAGCAGGCTTCGGGAGTATGGCCAGTTCGGCCGGGTGCCCCCACCCCCTGTCCTGCTTGGAGGCTTTGGCTCCCCCGGAGGTGCACCAGCACGCTTTTACGTACCCCCCACCTCTTAGAAAGTTTCCATTAGGAAACTGATCTGGAAGAAATTGAGGCCCCAAGAGGAAAGGGGCGGGCCCAGGCCGCCCCACATCTGCTTGGATTTTCCGCTTCAGATGCTCCGCAACTGCTTTTCCCCAGGCCGCGCCCCGCGCCTACCTGAGGCCCATCCCCCTCGGAAACCGACTTTCGAGTGAGATCAAGGGGGAGAAACGCGCAGATGTTCTACCGGGGATGGGCTCCCGGAGAGGCTGCCGCAGTGGCAGGAGAGGACCAGAGACTTTGTCACTAAGGATGTGGGGGCGGGAGATCTCCTCCTGTCCCCAGCACTAGATTTTGGGGGAGAGGGTAGCGACCCTCTGAAGTGGTGTCTGAGGAGGACTTCAACCATTGAAGCAAAATGAGGCAACAGAAAATCCAGGACTATGGGCGGTTCCAATCTATTCGATTTCCAATCTGTTGTCTACACAATTAGCAAGATACAGTTCCTCGGGAAGATCCCACCTGCATCTAGCGACGCATCTATGACTGTCATGGTTGGGGGGCGTTTTTGGTCTGAGCTATCTGAAAGAGTACTTCAACTTTTCACTCCTTTCCTTGGGTGAGCCCCGTGGAGAGGGCATCAACTTTTCCTGGAGTCATTGCTACTATCAGAAAGGATCAGCCGACAATGACAATATCACTGTTCCTTGTTGGAAAGTGATGAGAGGCAGCCAGAGCAATTTCCTAGGGATTCCGGTCCTTCAGCGGTCTAGACAGTAACTGGCCCTGCTCCCGTATTTCCAAGGAGAGGAAGAGAAGTTTCTCTCTGTTTTGTTTTTAATAAATTCTTTCACTGGAAGTTACTCCATTGGAGAAAGTGTTTCTTTTCAGCTGGGTGGGAAGTCTCTCTGTTTATGTGCTTACATGGCAGTAACTAGGGCAGATCTGCCCCTGGTGCCGGGATCCAGGGACCCCTTCATGGCGGAGTGTTTGGCCCTCAGTGTGGTGCCTCGGGCATAATTTTGGGGTGCGGGTAAGAGATGGAGGCACTCCAGCGTGAGGCTGTGGGGGCTGATTTGCATCTTCTGGGCTCCTACCTGGGCCTGCTTTAAGTTGAGTCTGTTGTCTGGGATTCTGAAAAGACCACGGTCCTTTTCTTCAGACTCTGTTACTAGGACTTTGGGTGCCGAGATTGGAGATTGGAGTCTGGAGGCCTCAGGTCAGGGCAGTGCCTCCTGACGTAGGAATGGAGTAGCTGCTGTCTATGCATTTAGGGGAACAAAAAACAGTGCCGCTGGGAATTCATTATAGTGATTAGCAAAGTCCCTGAGCATGGGCCACAGGAACCTGCATCAGATTTGGATAAAAGAGGGCCTCTCTTTTCTTCTACTTTTACCTGTGGGGTGAGGGGGTAGCCTGATGGGTCTCCCAAGCCGAGCCCCACTTTCTCTCCATTCTCTGAAAAGAGGTGGGGGGACTCGGGCGTGCCCCTCCC